ATGCCGACGCCAACGCCGCCGCTGAGGAGGAACAACCCGCCGGCAGCGCTTCTGCTGCTGATGCGGCGGCGACGGCATCGAGGAACACGCCCCGCCGCTGGCGACGCGGCCCTGCCTGCGGCTCGGGCAACCCCGAGGGACCGCCGGAAAGTGAGTGCTGCTGTGCTACTGCTGCGAGAACACAAGGCTCTCCGGTAAAGACGCGTTGCAGGTCCCGATACTACAAACCTGCTCTATCGCGGGCTTTCAAGGCTCCGGGTGCGCCGATTCTCTCTCTGCTGCGATCCGTCGGCGTAGGTATACCGTGTTTTCTCTTGTGCAGGTTCGGTCGTTGCCGGAAGTTTTGTCTTTCGTAACATCGCGCTTTCCCGGAAGAGGGGAAACGCGACCGATAAAGCGAAGTTAATACAGGACTTCTTTTCTTTTTTTTTTCACGGTTCAATATCAATAAATCAGGAAAAATGGACCTGCTTCGCTTTTATAGCCACCTTTTCGCCACTGTGCTCAAGCAAACTTAGTCTCTAGCACAGCTACGAGGTCGCGCTTGCTTTTATTTCCAACTGTAACTGCATACACACACGACAAAACGGGAATGTGGGTACCGCCGGGAGATAAACAGCGAGGTACCATGCGGTTATCAGCGGACTGTTGTTTAGCAGGAAGAGGCTGCGCGGTTTGCCATGACAATGCATAAAGTCCGCTTGAGACAGAACCGATCCTTTTTGCACTATCGAGTTTTTTCACAGTGACATTTGCTGTTCGAAGGTGTAACAGCGTCACAAACGACGTGGCTCAGAGCGTTATTTAAACATTGTCCCGTTATGGGAGAACTTATCACATTGTAAACATCACTTGCTAAACAACGATAGTGCAGTACTATGTTGAAAAAAAAAACGAGAGAGGAAAACAACGCTAGACACTGAAATGATCCGTGAAGGAACCCAGTGGGCATTGTCCGTCAAGTAGAGAATGATCCCCACCCTCTTAAGCTCCTACACTAACCTTCTGGCTCGTGTTTTTTTTTTTTTTGTAATGCTGAGCGCGAGCGCAGCCAGACTGTTTCAAGTCCGCACACGACTCACCAACGTTAAATGCCAGTAGTCAGAATGTCGGAATGCCAAAAAAAAAAGGAGAGAGGAAAACAACGCTAGACACTGAAATGAACCGTGAAGGAACCCAGTGGGCATTGCCCATCAAGTACAGAACGATCCCCACCCTCTTAAGCTCCTACACTAACCTTCTGGCTCGTGTTTTTTTTTTTTTTTTTGTAATGCTGAGCGCGAGCGCAGCCAGAACTGTTTCAAGTCCGCACACGACTCACCAACGTTAAATGCCAGTAGTCAGAATGTCGGAATGCCAAAAAAAAAAACGAGAGAGGAAAACAACGCTAGACACTGAAATGAACCGTGAAGGAACCCAGTGGGCATTGCCCATCAAGTACAGAACGATCCCCACCCTCTTAAGCTCCTACATCTACAGTCTTTGCACGCTACTCACTACAAGCAGCAGTCACCAACTAGCGCCTCGTAATAAAGTAAACTACGCGAAAATAATGTTAGCAAAAAAAATAATGCGCCACGCTTTATCGACAACGATCGAAAACTGCTAGAAAACAAAGCAAAAGAAAACAAAACAAAACTACAGCTCTTCCTGTCTCTTTTCTTGGCCTCTCTTTCGTGCTTGCACACTACGCCAGGCGTTCGCCGTGAACCTGCAAGTAGCTCTTATTACGGGAACAAAGTTAAAACCACGCGAGAAAGCAGCAGCGGAAGCACTAACACTTCTTCGCCGCACAACTCCGGCTCCTCACAGCGAAAGCACCGCGCACCTGCGGCAGATGCATCCCCGGTAGCCGGGCCCCTCATCTTCCTAGCTAGCACGCCGTACGTTGCCGCTTTCACCCCTCCCCCCCCCCCCCCCGAATCTCCCGTTTCTTACGTTTTCGCTCCCCCTTGCTGACCCTCACCGCGTCAATACCACCCCTCGCGCCCCACTGAAACCTCTCCCCCACCCGGGACAACATCTCCTTTGAGTTGGCTCCATTAGTGCCGGGGCGGCGGCCGGGGGGCGTGGCACCCCGCTGGGTCCATCTGACGGAGTGGCCGCCATGCAAATGAGCCACTTGTCGCCCCGCACACGAAACCCCGCGCGCTGAACACGCCACCGCGGCTGCCCCGGACGCTGCGGCAGCTGTCGCCGCCCTACGGAATGCCGACGCCAACGCCGCCGCTGAGGAGGAACAACCCGCCGGCAGCGCTTCTGCTGCTGATGCGGCGGCGACGGCATCGAGGAACACGCCCCCGCCGCTGGCGACGCGGCCCATGCATGCGGACTTCGGGCAACCCACGAGGGACCGCGGAAAGTGAGTGCTGCTGTGCTACTGCTGCGAGAACACAAGGCCTCCGGTAAAGACGCGTCTGCAGGTACCAATACTACAAGCCTGCTCTATCGCGGGCTTTCAAAGCTCCGGGTGCGCCGATTCTCTCTCTGCTGCGATCCGTCGGCGTAGGTATACCGTGTTTTCTCTTGTGCAGGTTCGGTCGGTGCCGGAAGTTTTGTCTTTCGTAACATCGCGCTTTCCCGGAAGAGGGGAAACGCGACCGATAAAGCGAAGTAATACAGGACTTCTTTTCTTTTTTTTTTTCACGGTTCAATATCAATAAATCAGGAAAATGTGGACCTGCTTCGCTTTTATAGCCACCTTTTCGCCACTGTGCTCAAGCAAACTTAGTCTCTAGCACAGCTACGAGGTCGCGCTTGCTTTTATTTCCAACTGTAACTGCATACACACACGACAAAACGGGAATGTGGGTACCGCCGGGAGATAAACAGCGAGGTACCATGCGGTTATCAGCGGACTGTGTTTAGCAGGAAGAGGCTGCGCGTTTGCCATGACAATGCATAAATGTCCGCTTGAGACAGAACGATCCTTTTTGCACTATCGAGTTTTTTTCACAGTGACATTTGCTGTTCGAAGGTGTAACAGCGTCACAAACGACGTGGCTCAGAGCGTTATTTAAACATTGTCCCGTTATGGGAGAACTTATCACATTGTAAACATCACTTGCTAAACAACGATAGTGCAGTACTATGTTGAAAAAAAAAACGAGAGAGGAAAACAACGCTAGACACTGAAATGATCCGTGAAGGAACCCAGTGGGCATTGTCCGTCAAGTAGAGAATGATCCCCACCCTCTTAAGCTCCTACACTAACCTTCTGGCTCGTGTTTTTTTTTTTTTTGTAATGCTGAGCGCGAGCGCAGCCAGAACTGTTTCAAGTCCGCACACGACTCACCAACGTTAAATGCCAGTAGTCAGAATGTCGGAATGCCAAAAAAAAAAAACGAGAGAGGAAAACAACGCTAGACACTGAAATGAACCGTGAAGGAACCCAGTGGGCATTGCCCATCAAGTACAGAACGATCCCCACCCTCTTAAGCTCCTACACTAACCTTCTGGCTCGTGTTTTTTTTTTTTTGTAATGCTGAGCGCGAGCGCAGCCAGAACTGTTTCAAGTCCGCACACGACTCACCAACGTTAAATGCCAGTAGTCAGAATGTCGGAATGCCAAAAAAAAAAGGAGAGAGGAAAACAACGCTAGACACTGAAATGAACCGTGAAGGAACCCAGTGGGCATTGCCCATCAAGTACAGAACGATCCCCACCCTCTTAAGCTCCTACACTAACCTTCTGGCTCGTGTTTTTTTTTTTTGTAATGCTGAGCGCGAGCGCAGCCAGAACTGTTTCAAGTCCGCACACGACTCACCAACGTTAAATGCCAGTAGTCAGAATGTCGGAATGCCAAAAAAAAAAAACGAGAGAGGAAAACAACGCTAGACACTGAAATGAACCGTGAAGGAACCCAGTGGGCATTGCCCATCAAGTACAGAACGATCCCCACCCTCTTAAGCTCCTACACTAACCTTCTGGCTCGTGTTTTTTTTTTTTTTGTAATGCTGAGCGCGAGCGCAGCCAGAACTGTTTCAAGTCCGCACACGACTCACCAACGTTCAATGCCAGTAGTCAGAATGTCGGAATGCCAAAAAAAAAAAAAAGAGAGAGGCTTAGCAAATAGGTATTACACAACCGAAGCGAATACAAAGAGATAATGTACAGGGAAAGGCACGTGGTGTCGCTCATCTTTTATTCTTGAAGAGGTAAAAAAGAAATGACGATGGAATTCCACTGCAGCCAACAGTTTGACAAGTGGGTTCGTCATCCTCAAAGGAGCAACTAACTACCTTGTCGCCCGCGCCATTTTTAAGGACGAAAACCGTATGTCGTACGAGTCGAGAAACTTCGCGAGATTCAGTGACGAAGCTTCGACAAAGCGTTGCATGACGTCAGTGTCTTCGCGTGGCAAAGTGACATCGTATTGACGTCAGATACGGCTCAAATTTGCGAAGTCACGACACCTCATCATGATGATGACCGAACCTGATGACGGCGTCGGGAGATGTCGTCGAATCGTTGAAAGTGAGAGGATCCCGGAGGCGATGGAACCACGTGTGAATTGCAGAAGGGTTAAATGTGAAAGGCCAATAGAATGTGGCTGACTGACAACGTCGAAGTAGTCCTAATTAAACTAGTTGAACGTGAGAGCACACGTTTTCACCTGTTCGGGCTTTACCGTAAGCAAAATGGACTGTCTGTTTTAAGGAAAACGGATTAAGCACACCATAAAACGCAACAATTCACCGCCGGCGGTGTTCAGCGGCGTCGAAAACGAGTGACGCAAGCATATCCTAATCACGTATTGACGACCCCATGACGTCAAGCGTGGCCAACATTTGTGACGCCAACACAATGTAAGGTGACGACGTCATCACGTGACATCATACCATGGTCAGAGGTTGGGTGATCATGGAGGCAACGTGAAACTACAAGCGATGTGTCTCCGATCTTAGAGGCCATGCAAAAACAGTATTGGTTGCAGAAAACCTGTCGGAAGGTGACGGGGCAGGATCTTTACATCGATTGACGAGAGAATAAGACTAATTGCTTTCACTTTCGAGTCGTCTGAAGTGAATTTATAAAGGACTCAAAGTTTTTATTCGCTCCAGTCTGGTTGTACGCGCGCTGACACGGTATACGCGTTCACGCGTTAGGCTCCGTCCCCGCGCCCATGTTGACGAGAGACACCAAAGGCG